TCTCTATTACTTTAGATTTTCCTGTTATATACAGCCAAACCTAATCCTGATACATTCAGTGATTTGGATAAGTGAAAAACTTACTAACAGTTAAGGCTGTCCAACAATGGAAAGAACTCCCTGTGAAAGTATTCTGCACCCACTCCTGGCAGGGCACTGTGGAAGGGATTCCTGCACAGCAAAGGACTATAGATTTCTAAAAACCCATCGGGCAATTGAGATTCTGAGTCTACCACTGGAACAAAGCAGCTCAGGGCTTGCCAAACCCCTGGCAACACTTTGCCTCTGAAATCTCTCCTTCTGTTATCAGTGAGAGCATCCCTTTTCTATAACATTCCATGTCCTATCTGTTCTTCAAGACTCTGCTCAAACACTTATGTTCTCACTGGTGCATTTCAAAACCAACTTTACCTTGACTTCTGCATGCTGGGTGTCTTCCCTTTCTCCTCCAGGCCTCCTCCCAACCTTCTCCAACCCTGCTATGTGCCTCACAGGGTTGCCCTCTATGAATTAAATCACTTGGGCTCCCTTATCCCCTGGTTTCTAGTTGCGTTTGACAAATGAGAGGCTCTAGAAGGAGGGGGTAGGAAAAGAAAGAGTTTGAGGTATTTATTCCCCTTGATTCCTTTCCTACTAGGCCACTGGTTAGCAGTGGCTTCGTTCTTACATTCTTACCTCCTTCAGCTAAGTTCTCTCAAGGTCCCAGAAACTACTCCCTCTCTTGCCCCTTCATGCCTAAGAATGATAAAGGCCCTTAGTTCTAAGGTGTTCCACCAACCTCTGTTGGTCATCTTCACCCTGCTCAGTTTTGTAATAATCCCTGCATCTCCTCAATCACACTGTTGGAGTGTGCCAGGAGATAACTAATACAGTCAACATGCTACTTTTAGCCTGCACTATTCTATCTTTCCAAATGGCTCCTACCTCCCCATAGCATGGCTTCTCTCTCAGTAATTGCATTCTGTATGTTTCCATAAATGGACTGATTCACTACAAATTAATTCCCTGTGGAAAATTTTTAATCCCAGGCTGATTCCCAATTCTGCTACCAATGTGTACAAACTGTAAGTAATATTAGATTGGGCAAAGTCCAATTAAAAAGGTAATGTTACTAAATATTCCTGATACAGTGACTACAAAGCCAAGACCAATACTAAGATTTGGGGGTTATCTATTTATAATTTCCCTTTCCTTTAATCAAAAATTGCAGAAATTATCATACTTGTCATTATAGTTTTGTTTTATTTATAAGATTGGAACAATGTCAAATACAATGCTCATCCTACTATGGTCACTCAAAATGTCAACAAAATTTTAAAGACCCCACTGGTCCTAACGAATTTTCCCTTTTTTCTAGATAATCCTACAAATAAGACACCAGATTCAAACAAAAATGAGCTTTTAGTGTCCATCTTTCAGTTAATTGCTTAAATCCCATTTGAGACTCAGAAGGAAACATCCCTGAAAAAGATTCAAGGGTCAGAGACAAAGCTGTTAAGATCTGGAAAGATACGAATTTTTGAACCTGAAAAAACTGAGACAGGCTTACTATTTCCAAATCAAGAAAAGAGTGTTATCTACAGACAGGAACAGCACAAGGAAAGCATTTCATAAGAATTACACTTAAGAAAAAGTAAATTTTGCTGAAGAAAATGCTAAACTCTCCAATATATATTATTAATCTAAAGCAGCAGGGCTGGATCCATGGGCAATATAACCCCAAGTAACACTATAACAGACCGATCGCACCCTAAGAAAAGACTCAACCCCCACCCATAAGAATGCAAGATCCCATGTTAACTGATCCCATTGTCTATGTAAGGAACCCTAGACCAGGGTTTCTCAACTTGGTCACTGCTGACCTTTTCTGCCAGATAATTCTTAGCTGTTGGGGACTGTGTGACTAATAGGCCATTTACTTGCATCCCTGACCTCTAGCACTCCTCAAGTATATGACAACCAAAAATGTCTGTCTCCAGTCACTGGCAAATGTCCCTGGGACTAAATCACCCAGGTTGAGAACCTCGGCCCTAGATAAACAATTATCACTCACACCCCACCAAGCACTACCATGGCATATATGGTAACCCTAACCTACCACTTCTATGGAGAAAGAGCAAAACCACCTAAGGAGGAGACCTGGTTTTAAAGTACATTTTTCTTAAAAGCTACAAGTATTTGGCAACTTGCAAAGTCATACCACCCGCTAGGACTCGGAAGGAGAATATGGATGAAAAGAATGGTTGCTCAAGTGGCCAAAGATTGCTAAAATATTTTGACTCAAATTCCCTCTGAAAGCATCACAATTCTCACAAGAATACACACTCACTCATTTTATCCAGAAGCACAACTGTAAAGTATTACAGTCCATGACATGTCACACATGAGCAAGCAGAAAGGTAGGCAAACCACCCTAATCACTCAGATGAGGGCAAAAGTACGGGCAGGAAAGCACTGAGGGCTGATAGTCCAAGCTCCTCCGCCCGGAATACAAGGTTTGTCATATGCAGACTCCTGATCATTGTCAAGTTTTATTACCAGAGCACACTGCCCTCACAAGTGGTTTTCAACCCCATCAGACCCACTGCCCTCTTTCCATAACAAATATCTTATAATGCCCCTTTATTATTCTGAAATTAAATTAAAGAGTTCTAACATTATACCCAGTCACAACTTTTTAAATTTCAATATAATACCCTAACAGCAATGTAAGGGAAAATAAGACTTGTATAATAAAGCATGTATTTTCAGATAAGACTATAGCAGAAAACAAAAATACCCCCCACCCACAACAGCCACACACTTCCAAAGTGCCCAGAGAAGGAGAAGCTCACCTACCCTTTCTGCTCTACACAAACCCTCTATCAGTCACAAAGTTCAGCAAACTCTGTCCCTTATGCTGAATATGGTCCAGAGGCATCGCAAAGCAGGTAAGAAGGGATCTCAAGTCAGACCAACTGTGTTTAAATGTGGCTCCCCCACTTGACTGATGAAGCACCCTTTCCAAGTCTAGTTTTCACCTATAAAAGAAGGATGCCACATATTTTTCAAAGAGTTTTGCACCTAACATGTAATACATATTCAATAAATGTTGGCTCTCAGGCTTGTATTATTATTCTTGAATCCACCTTGTACTGTGTCCTAGTTTTTACTATAAAAAGTAAAAACCTTATTATTCCCCCAGCAGAAAAGATGGAGAACTGGATATCCACTTAACAGAGACATTCTAAAAAGGATCTGTGCGCAACACAGATAAGAAGTGGCATCATATGACTTCTAAGAGTCCATGATATGCTGCCCTGCATTGAAGTTATTTTTTAATTGGGGTCCTCTGTTTCCAGCTAGAGGGCCAAGAACATGTCTCACACATCACACAAATTAGCTAGGGAACTCAGATCATGCCCCAACTGAAAACCCAGCCTTGGTCACTGGTTCTTTACCGTTTAGTCTCAAATAGCACAGTACAGTCAAGGAAAGAGTGACAACTCTCCCAGAGAAAGCACCTCGAGCAACATGTACAGCGTGTCACACTGATGATTCTTGACGCTCCGTCATTATTCCTGTGAATTAATTCCTTACACTAACAAGCAAAGAAACTCCCCTAAATATTCTAGATTATCAAATGAGGAAGTGAAAGGTAGTGGTGACAGCTAGAAAAATACCTCAAAACAAAACTGACTCCGAAGTTAGCATTTGAATAAAAGTACTCCCTGCTAAGACCATAGGCCCAAGAAGTAATAAGCACATCTCCAGGCATCTAAGTGTATCCTGGTTACATAGAGGCATCTTTATTTACCATACACATACTGATCTACAAGAGGAAAAGCAGAAATTGCCAATTGTTACAAATCATTCTTCACTAACCCTCCAAGGATCTAACAATAGTTACCTCTGAACAGAGGAATTATTGCAGGTTGCTTCCTTTTGCTTACAGTTTCCAACTTTTCTAATGCTCATGTAATAAAATTTAAAATTAATTAAGTCTATTATCTACTGATAACCACGAAGTTTGAGGCAAGAAAACTATTTTAGGCAAACTCTTCATCAAGAACTATGGATAAATCAATTATTTATCTATGTCTCTAAAATCATCCGCTCACTCACTCCAACCAGAACTAATCAAAACATAGTTTCCCTTTTTATCCCTCCAGCAGATCTTAAAAGGTTCTGCCACTATAAAAAGTAAACACCAGTATAAAAAAAACCCTCACTCGTAGTTTTTGCCAATTTCCCAGTGGCAGATTTGGTTAGTGAGATAAAGGGAAAGGAACTGTTTTTCAATCGGTGTTTTTGCACAGAAACCTCACACTCAAACTAACTCATAAAAAACTAAACGTACTTTTTCTGAAAAGCCATGGGCTCCCCGAAATTCTCACACTAAAAGGCCTCTATAGACTCATAAATGTTCCAAGAATAAAACGTCATTTTATAAACCCTCATTTGGCAATGTGTTCACCCTGCTCCGTAAAACAAAAGCAAAAAGGGTATCAAGAGGAAAAAAAACAGCCTCTACCAAAGCAGGCAAACACCCAGCAAGAAAACTTAAATTCCAACTAATTCAACAATCATCTGTTAAGCACTCAGAATATACAGAGGACCATGACAGGTGTTTATTCCTCTTCTAGACAAGTAAGACGGTAAGATCTGCCTTCGAAGGAATCATCTCTTAGTCTGGGAGACACACACTTAAAAATTAATATACAGCAGACCCAGACACAGTTTAAGTTTTAAAAGTGCTCTGGTAGTATGGGAAGGGAAAGATTAAAATCAACTGCAAATTTCGAAGAACATTTTTCATATGTACGAAATAAATATATTCATATGTTTAACTCAGCCATTTATCCCTTCATAATCACTAAATCCAAAAGAAACGGTAGCAGAAATGCTCAGCTATCAAAAGCAAGCATCAATGGTGAAAACTACACACTCAGAACCTTCGGACTAAAAATAAAACTTAAGGACCAAGTGCCTTACATCAGGGAGAAGTTTGGGAGACTCACCAACGTCAGAAGATCCGTACCGGGCATCTTCCTCTCCCAGCCGTCCTTTCAGTGCTTCCCTCTGCAAAAAGGAACCGGGTTTGTTTACTTTTAAGGCTTTACGCCGTCACGTTCGCCCACCTACATCCACCACAGAAATCAAGAAATGGTTCTCTTTCCTTTGAGGGCTCAGATTTCACTCCGAGCTACCACACTCCACCCCCATCACCCAAACCAGCCAATCAGAATCCTGCTGGCCCTAGGCATCCGCCCCACATCCGAACAAACGAATCCAGACCAAGCTTCCCACAAAGCTGTCCAGCCGAAGTCGATACTAAGGAACACGCCCAGCCCGCCCTCGACCGGGGCCTGGGTCCCCGAAGCCCAGCCCATTCGAGCGGACGCGGCGGGCAGAAAATGGGGCGCTCAAGGCATTCCATCCCGGGTCCTGCCTCCGCTGCACTCCCTTTAGGACCAGGCTGGCCTGGGTCTCGACTTCTTCCCTTCCTCCCAGGGCCTCTTCCTCTCTTCTGAAGGATCAGCGATCCTGCCGGCCCCAAGTCCACTCCCCCGCCATGCGAGTGCAGTTTCAGATTCCGCTCCCTCTCGGCCCTGGCGTCCTGCCCCGCCTACTCGCGGCCCTTCCGCTCCCTCACCTGGGGTGGCCGATGCCCCATTCTCAGCCCGCACCCGAGCCCGCCCCGTATCCGCTAGCCCCTCAGGCCCTCCCTGCCCTTCTTCCTCTACCCAACCCAAACCTGCCGACCCAGGCCCGACCCTCCTTCCTCCCCCACCTCCTCAGCCAGGAACCAGCTTCCTCACTCCTTCCCTCGGACACACACCGCGCG